TGAGGGCCTTTAACTATATATATATATATATATATATATATATATGTATATACATATATATAAATATACATTCAATTGTGTAGATAGCTTTTATCCAAACTTGGCCGTATCGTAAGAGACGCCCTTTTTTGTCTCAAGTGTTCGCTAATAGACAGAAAAAGAATATATACATATATATATGTATATATATGTATATTGAGGGCTACACTTGTCTGTAGATTGCTGGGGAGTAGAGGCACAAAGAGAGACTCCCTGCTCGTAAACCCTAAACCCTAAACCCTGATGCACTTTTTTCATTGTCTTTAAGCGCACCATCAGCATCAGTAATGTGTGCGTCTCTTTGTCTCTTTGCTGCACTAAAGAGACGGGAGACATTATTCGTTTATAGGAAGACAAACATCTTCGATATCAACCGAACGTACACCCCAACTGCGTCTTCACTGGCCCCTCTTGATGCAGCGCTAAATGCTTTGTTGCTACAAAGACTGAGACTGCATGCAAACGGCCTTCAGCATAGAAAGCCCCAAAAACAAAGGCTGGAAACAGCATGCATGCAGACACTATACATACACCCCAAAGGACGAATAGGGGCACCTCATGAATTAATATTACCAACGCGTGACTTCAAAGGGAATTAAACAAAATACAAAAGGATGCAACACTGCATGCATGCACCTCTCTATAAGGCGCATTCATAGGCCATAGGGCTTTGGGTTTAATGAGAAGGTAATTTCTCGTTGGTTCGTGAATCTACATATATACATATATGCATATATATATGTATATATATATACATATATATATATATATATATGTATATATACATATGTACAAAAGACATATGGATATGCATAGGCATGCATGCAGAGGAAACAAAGGAGAAAGGCGTTCTAACAGTACATTGAATAAAGAAGTGACAGCTGAGAGAAATGAAGGAGAGAAAAATACCCCAAAGGAGTCGAAAGCAACAGAAGTTCGAGTGGCTGGAGCATACCATGCTGCTTTTTGTTACGTTTCTTTGTGTTTTATTAATTAAAATTACCTCATTAAACAAACAAAAATATAATTTATAATTAATAAATTATTTAAAAATAAATTAAAATACAAATTTAATTACACAACGACCGCACCAGCTCTTCCCCGATGCTGGAGAGCAGAGAGGTAATGGGGCGGTGGCGACGCCTGGGCCTTTAGGGGTGCCTGTCTGTGGACTTTAGTATGAAATATGAAATATTTAATTATATTTATTTATTTACATTCAATTATATATCAAAACAACGAAGAAAAACTCAACACGACAGCCCCGTACCTGAGGTGTATAGGCACCTCCAACTTATCCACTGGGCAGGGAGTGTATATAACCAATGGTGCCTCGAGTGTGGAGGGGGTTTATGCTTTTTATTCTTATTTTGGGGAATTTTATTGAATATTTTGTTTTTAAATGTGTTTAAATTGAGTATTTTGTAATTATATTTGTTTGTTTTTTCTTGCCTTTCGGTTTGTTGGCGGTTACAGAATTGCGAATGCCGCGGGGTGCTGCTGTTGCAGCTGCTGGTGTTGCTGCTGCTGCTGCTGTTGCTGCTGCTGGTGCTGCTCCTGGTGCTGCTCCTGTTGCTGGTTATGCTGCTCTCGATTTCCCTGAGACGAGGGAGAAGGAGTCTCCTACTCTTATCCCCCAGACCCCTACAGCTGAGGAGAGCCTTCCTAGTGTTGCTGCTACTAGGGGCCCCAGCCTTCGGGGCTGGGTGGCCCCCGGCAGCAGCAGCAGGGGAGCCCCTCCTCGGCGCTCTGTATCCCTGCCGCTTCTTGTTGCGCTACCTTTGGTTGCGGTGCTGCTGCTGCTTGCTGCGTGCAAGGCCCCATCCCTAGGGTATAACCAGGTGAAGGGGGGGCTGCTCCGCAGGCTTGCTGCCAACGGAGACAATGAAGGAAACCGACGAAGCAGCAGCACCAGCAGCACCAGCAGCGGGGGCGCTGCAGATTTGACAGCAGAATGCATTGCCCTTCAAGCCCAGCTGGGTATTGCACCCCCACGGGAGCAGCAGCAGAATCAGCAGCGGCAGCAACTCCTGCGGCCGCACCAGCAGCCGCAACTGGTGCAGCAGCAGGTGCAGCAGCGTGAGGAAGGCAACCCTCAGAGACAGGTTCAAGCACTCGCGATGATGCTGAGCACGGAGGCTGCTGCCTTTGAACGGGGACACCCACCGCGTCTCCAGGAGGCCGTCCCTCCTCTTGCTGTTTTGCCTGCTGCTCCTATTCCCCTTCAGCAAAGCAGCCGCAAGCAACAGCAGCAGCAGCAGCAGCAGCAGCAGCAAACGCAGCGTCAAGGCCAACCCCAGCAACCCAGTACAACGCAGGCATGGGATGAGGCGAATATTTACGAAGGGCTCCAGCGTCGATTGTATGAAATGCAGCGGCAACAGCAGCAGCAGCAGCAACAGCAGCAGCAGCAGCAGCAGCAACAGCAGCAGCAGCAACAGCAGCAGCAGCAGCAGCAGCGGCAGCAGCCGTCTCTCATACGGACGCAGCAGTGGCAGAGCCTGGCAGCGCATCAGCAGGAGGAGGAGCAGCAGCCACTCACAAGGATACGGCAGCGGCAGAGCCTGGGAGCGCAGCAGCAGCAGCAGCAGCAGCAGCAGCAGCCACATTTGATGGCTCAGCCACTACCGCCGTTCACGACTCAGCAGCAGCAGCACTTGACGCCGCAGGAGCAGCTGAAGCTGGGGATACAACAGCAGCAGCAAAGCCCCAGTGGGGTGCAGCAGCAACCGAAGTTGAAGGATCAGCATGACTATCTGAAAGTGCAGAGCCAGCTGCAAATGGGAGCTCAGCAGCAGCAGCAGCTGCTCCTTGGAGATCAGCAGCAGCTCCCGTGGGGGTCGCAGCAGCAACAGCCCAACGTGGAGGAGCAGCAGCTCCAGCAGCAGCTGCTGAAGCAGCAGCAGCTCCAGCAGCAGCAGCTCCAGCAGCAGCAGCTCCAGCAGCAGCAGCTCCAGCAGCAGCAGCTCCAGCTGCAGCAGCTCCAGCAACAGCAGCTCCAGCAGCAGCAGCTGGGAATGCAATTAATGGCCCAGGAGCAGCAGCAGTCAGGGAGGCTGCAGCAGCAGCAGCACGTCGGTATGCAGACGCAACTGCATTCGGGGGCTGCGCAGCTGCGGCACCAGCAGCAGCAGCAATCGGCTGCTGATCTGGAGCAACATGACCTGGTGAGCCGGTTGCAGCATCCCAACGTGAGCGAGCATCAGCAGCAGCTGCAGCAGCAACGGGAACAGCCGCTGGAACAGCAGGTGCAGCAGCAGCTGCAGCAGCAACGCGAACAGCTGCTGGAACAGCAGATGCAGCACCAGTACCAGCAGCTGCTGCAGCAGCAACGGGAACAGCCGCTGGGACAGCTGACGCAGCAGCCGATACAGCAGCCGATACAGCAGCCGATACAGCAGCCGATACAGCAGCAGATACCGCAGCAGCTGGAGCAGCAGCTGG